AGAACCACCCATTTGAGGCCAACCTAAGTTGCCAACCCATAGGACTGTTAGTTAAATAAATAGTTATTTTCAACTATTTGTTTAAACTTTGGGATGATTTGTTACAAGGATAAAACTAACTGATACAATCCATATTTATAGGCTTTTGAGCAGAGAGACAGGAGGGGTGTGGGGAGTAAACAGCTGTGGGGGTTTCATTTAATCTCAGTCAATTTCTGGGGATGTACCTATTTATTTTAACGATGTAGCTGGCTGGGAAATGCGTAACTCCAAAACCTATTTTGGTTTTACAGTACAGGTGGAGGGTCTTAAATTATTCAGGTAATTGCTTCAACTTACCACTTAAAAGTTTCTTAAATTAGTCATCTCAGACTCTGGGATTTCATCTATGGTAAAATGACCAAAAATTGGGGAGACAGTTTTGCTGATTTTTTTCCCTGGTAAGCAATATTTTAAAAATCACACACACATACATATGATAAATATAAGACTAACATCTACTAACTCCAACATTACTTTAGAAAGTGAATTGTAATACAAATACAATATATAACAATTAAAAGAGTTGTTTATTGAACACTCATTTCATTAGCTTTACTTTTTCTCAATTTTCTATGGACCAGTGAAAACTTTAACACATCTGGGTATTATTCTGTAGACTAGCACTTGAGGGCTACTTTTAAAGAGAGTCTGCCACAGTTCTTCCTGCCATGTTTCTGAGAATGCTTACACACAAATGTCACCGCCTCTGAGAAGCCCCCCTTTCCTGCATAGGTGGAGCTAAACATCCTCCTCTAAGTTTCCATAGCTTGACTTCTATTTCTGCTGGAGTCATATCACCTATACAGAGGATCGGCTACATAATTGGTGGGGATTCTTATTCAAAAATAATTTAGACTTTCAAGAAGAAAACTGCAGAGCATCCCATCAAGCATGGGACCCCCTTAAATATGACTGCATAGATTGTTTGCCCAGGAAGGCTGCCCTACTTCTGTGTTCTATCTTGCTTTGGAGATTTTGCATTTCTGCAAAGCAAGAATCTTGTCTCCGTCATCTGTCTCCCCAGCATTTAGTTCGGTGCCTGGCACCTGGTAGGCCCTTCGGTTTAACATCAATAACAGTGACCCTTTCCTAAGCACTGCCAAGGTTTCATTTGCTGTGCTAAGCACTCTATACAAGGTACGAGGTGTCTGTAACCTGCCTGGGGAGAGTCACCACTCTTATCCCCATCTTAAAGATGAGAGAACCAAGGCTTGGAGAAGTTAAGTGCATTCTCTGAATCATAAAACTCATAGGACGAAGAGCCAGGATTTAAAAGTAGGCATGACTCAGTGGTTCTCAATCAATTTTGCCCCTCCGCCCCCACCAACTGGGGACATTTGGCAAAGTCTGGTTGTTAGCAGTTTTGAGTTGTCATAGCTGGGAGGTGCTACTCGCATCTAGTGGGTAGAGGCCACTAGATATCCTGCAGGGCACAGCCCCACAATGAAGAATTATCCAGCCCCAAAGTGTCACTAGTGAAGCTGAAAACCCCTGTCCCAGCACCAAAGCCCATGTTTCCTAAATTTCAGTTTTCAGTACCAGATACTTATTTTGTGTTTTTTTTTAAATTTGTATTTCATTAATACATACTATGATGTATTTATTATTTTTTCTTAAATTGACTTTAAATTGATGGATTTAAAGGAATTAACTACACCTTAAACATTTAGGCCCATGAAGCCATGTGTTGGATGGGTTATTATTATTATTATTTTTTCTGATACACATAGAAATAAATATAAAACTGATACACACTGAAATGCATTAAAAAAAAATATTTGTTGGGGTAGCACCAAAAATCATCTCATGTACCACCTCCAGTCGGGGAGAGCCATACTTTAGACTCAGTTCACTTCTTCTATCAGTCTTATTTCTTCGGAAGAAGAGAATGAAATACATCAGATCAGGGTGTAGCTTGAACCTGGCTAGGCGCCAGGTACGGTTAGGCTTCTGTTGGAAGATGTTATTGAGAGGATGCGATAGCAAGTTGACGCTGGTGCCACACTCAGGCAATGGGAGGCTGCTCACCCCTCTCCTGTCCCCCGTTCATTTTGCCTGCTATTTCTACTCTTCCAAGGCTGTCGCTGTGAGAGAGTAAGGTGTTGTTGAGCCCATCCCTAATGGACACATGACCGAACCCAGTTAAGGACTCTGTATAAACTTTATGATTCTGGTAGGCATGTGTAGAGATCGCCTTGTCTTGAGGCTCCTTAAATAAGCCTGAAGGTAAGTTCCCTTGCTTGTTAAACCTGCCACACCGCTCCATCTGGAGTGGCCTGACTCTTTGGTCTCTCCTTGCCCTCCAGGTACGGGGCCAGTTTCAGATTTCACCCAGGGAGCTCCGGAGGTTTTGAATCAACAGCTTCTGTTTCATCTCTCTCTCTCTCTCTTTTTTTTTTTTTTTTGCTCAAGGCTAACAGTTGCTTAGGAACGTGTTTGAAACCCTCAAAGCCACCTGATGAAGATGATTTTGAGGGCCACGGCACAAATAATCTAATTTGTTGAGTTGCTTATGGACATTAGTCGGGAGTCCCGGTAAGCACACATCATGTGGCTCCCTCCCCTAATTGCTGGGGAGTACAAACGCATTCTCTTCACAACACACTCTGTAGTCTGACATAATTAAGGCTAGAGCAAATGAGATTCTTCTTTAGATGTTAGAAGTGCCCATGTTGTAAATAATAACGTCATCGTCTCTTTCTTTGAAAGCACTTTCATTAAGAGCTTCATTTTAATTTCAACACATTTGCATGAATTCATTTGCATAGTAGTGGGGGGTGGCATTTGATGATGATTTTTCATCTTCCATGAACTTACCAGGTGTTTCAATTAGGAAGTTTATAACCCCCACCCCAGGAGCCCTGAAAAAAAATACCTTCTCAATCACATATTCCAAGTGGGGGCCTGTTCTCAACAATCATCCATTTATTGGGAAGGTAGTGACTGTTTACTGACTGGACAGATAAAGAGGACATGACTTCTTTCCTTGGACTAGTAAAAAGAACTAAGATGATTCCTTCCACTTCTACATATTTTCAAAGGTTTGGGAAACAGATTCAAGCAATATTCCAGGGCTCCACAGCAGCCATAGCAAGCAGGAGCAGGAAGGGAATTTGGTTTGAGCAAAGCTCAAGGGATAGGAGGCTTAAGATTTAGAATCTGTCAAATAAGCCATGCAGGGTGGATCTGACCAGCTTCTTTCCAAAGCACAATGCTGCACTCTCTTTGTCACAAATAGGGGGCAGTCTCTGTTAATTAAAGCAGTGAGCAGTGGCTGGAGCCAGTCTCCTCTGAGGACAGGGCTCAGGTGTCTAGGTGACAGGCAACATTTTGCAGAGATTGGATGTCACTAAAGTTTTTTTCTTTTTTTAATCACATTTACAAATGCCGTAAAAGCCCCAACTCTTGTGGGAAGGTGTGTGCGACCTACTTCTTCTACCAGGTTGTTGCCCTTAGCCCCCAGATCTGAGGCAGGCTGGGAAGCACCATGGTGGGGTGCAGTAAGGTGGGATGGCAGGGGACCTGAGATAGGATCTGGCAGTCGGCATTCAGCCTTGGCTTTCCCATTTGCTAGCCTTGTGATCTTGGACAAAGCCTTTAACCTCTCTGAGCATCAGCTTCCTGGACCTGAGCAAGCCAATTCTGATTTAGTGTGTAGAAATATGCCAAGCCCTCTGCACGTGTCGTGACAGCAGAAACTCTGTCTTTGTCCTAAGTGTTTCTTTCCTCTCTTGGTTCAAGACAGGGTGTTGCATAAAAGATCTTAATTTGTTAATTAAAGCAGCCCGTAATATTTTTCTGTAAGCTTCTTACTGTTCTAGATGCTGGTGACTCTGCAAGGGTCAGGGCCATTTCTTTCATGAAGTTATATTTCAATGTGGGGAGACAGAAAAAAAATAAATGTATAACATAATGTCAGGTAGATAGAGTCTGGAGTCCTATTTGAGGAAGGTACCATTTGCAGTGGTTAGAACACAGGCCCCAGAGTCAAATTTCTTGGGTCAAAAGCCAACTGAGCAAGAGCCAAATCCTGGGTAAGCTACTGTGGGTGACTGGTTTAATTGCTTTGGGCTTCAGTCTCAACTTCTGTTGTGTGGGCCAGGTAGTATTACCTAATGGATACAGTTAAATGAGATCCGTCACTCAGTGGTTCAGCAAACACTCCCAGATTGTCTGCTGGATGCTAGGCACTGCTCGAAGCATGTGTGAAGTGATTTAAGAAAAAGCAAGCTTAGTGGGTATATCACAGACACTGAATAAATGTCAGCTATCATTAGCTCTCACACACCAAACTTGTGTTTGTGGAGACTCACACAGTGGTGGGTGTGGGTCCACAGACATGCCACACTGTCCTATTTTGGGGACCCTATTATGATGAATCTGACGAATTTAGATTCAACAACCTCACACCTTGTCCAGGTGGGTTTGGGATATAATACAGCCCATAATTCAGTGAATCTTCCAGGTCTGGTATACTCCTGGATATGCTTGGTCAGTGTTGCCTGGTGGGTTTTTGCTGGAACAGGGTCATTCTTTGCAAGTCTTTGGGGAGAAAGTAGGTGATATTTCTTCAAAGAGAACTCCCTCTCATTTTGAGAACTTTGGAAAAGAGATTGGATAAAACCCTCCAGGTTTTTTCTATTAAGGGGACGCCAGTATGTCACTTTATATGTGGCCTAACTTCTTGGTTCTTTGAAAATGCCCCAGAAGCCCTTGACTGCAGCCAAATGGAGAGGAGAGTGGGGGAATATCATAAAACTGCAAATAGCCTAGCCGACTGCAAAGTGTATACTTAGTTAATGCAATTAAAAAACAAAACGCAGGGGCGTGTGGAGATCTAAATTTGGTGTAGCAGCTTTGGTACAAATCCTGCTTCGGGGGCTACTGGAGTCAAATTCAAGCCGAGGAGAGGAAGAAGTGGGAGATTTGGGAGAGGGCTGACGGATGGCTGGAATCGGATGAGCCGAGAGGGCGACGCGAGGCTGGCAGCCGAGGAAGCAAGGCCGGTTCCGCAGCGCCGGGTGAGGATGTCCGGGAGCCTCAGTGGGGACAGGGGCCAGCCGGTTCCGGAGAAGGACGCGCGGGCTCCAGGTCCGGGAGGGCGGCTGAAACTGGGTGCTCAGGCCTTGCACTGCACCAAATCTGGGTGCACAGAGGCGACACCGCGGTGTGCCCTCCTGTGGAGCACAGGGAACGCTGCGAGGGCTAAGAGAGACAGAAAGTGGCAGGTCCGGGGGTCTGGGACCTTCCGGGACATGCCATTGCCTCGGCTTTGGCGGCTGCCTCTCTTTACCCTCTGCGCTTCTTTGACTTCAGTTTAGCCCGAACCCCTCTCTGAGGATGCTTACCCCGGGCCCAGGGTCTTGCCTTCCCGCCTTCCCAGCTCAGCCTTGGTTCTCTCCTGGGCCCGAGCAGTTGACCGGTTCGGGTGGCGCCTCTAGCTGGGGGTGTGTGGGGGTGGGGGGAGGGCAAGGCGGCCCAGCGCACCTGGGAGGGGAGATCCTGATCAGACTGCGCCCCAGTCTGTCTTGGAGTGGAAGTCACCTAGTCTCTCCCTAATCCCTCCGAGTCACCCTTTCCCTGTTGGGCCGTATCGAGTCGCAGTTTCTGGGCCCGCGCCCCTGAGAAAGCCACGGGGGCAGCCGCCTGTGCTCTGGGAACAGGTCTGAGCCGCGCCTCCCGCCCAGAGAGGGCGCGGGAGGTCCCGCCGCGGTCTTCCACCTGCGA